GCTTCAGCAGCATCTCCTCCCTCAGATCCTCCTCATTAATCCTGGGATCCAGATCTAATCTGCAGTAATCACGTTAAGAGCGGCTCCGCCTGGAAACATTCCTCATGTTTGAGGATCAAACAGCTTCACACTTAGGAGCGCAGGACCACCAACACTGTCGCTGCGTTTATATAAGCACACACACACTGTGCTGCATTTATTCACCTCAGCTGGCTCCAGTTTGTTCAGAAAAGGCCAAAAACTCCAGCCCGGCATAAATCTGCCTTTACGTTTTAACAACACCTCCATATAGGCCGCCGGTCCCGTCATTAAATCCGTGTTATTCCTGAGCGCACGGCTTCATTATTCTGTTATTATGAGCAGGAAATCTCAACCAGGTCCCAATCTGTTAGAGCGGGACCCGGACCACAAACACTAAAACACCCCCCCAAAATAACTACCCCCCCCCCCCCCCCCCAAATAACTAACCCCCCCCCCCCCAAAAAAAAAAAAAACAACCCTAAAACATGCAGGGGCTCTGAGTCAGAATCACACCAATGTGTGTTTTCTCCTGTGGCTTTAAACGGCACACACACACACACACACACACACACACACACACACACGCGCGCGCGCGCACACACACACACACACACACACACACACACACACACACACACACCTTTAAGGAACAAGTGAAAATTCCTGACTCTGTCTCACATGCCGGGTTTCGCTGCGCTCCAAACAACACCGAGTCGGATGGGTCTGTGGGCGGGCCCCGTCCTCCGCCATGAGAGACACGCGTTGGGACATCAGTGATGCGTTCCAGCTGTCATCTCCCAGCTCTGTGGGAAAAATGTCTACTCAAGCATGTGGCATCAACGTTCCAGTTGTTCCAGGCTCCAATTTATGTGGAGCTGGACCGGTTCTCCTATCAGAGCACCACACGGCTCTGGGCCTAAACAGTTGACAAAGGACTGTTATTTCTCTTACATCAGCACCCCCCCAGAGCCAGAACCAATATGGGTCCAATAAACTCCAGTAATGGCTTCAGACGGTTGGGGGAGACGAAGAGGAATGATGAAGACGAGCGGTGAAGAAGCATGTGGGGGACAAAAGCTGGGTGTGAGACATGTCCACACGGAGAAGCTCTGAAGCCTCGGGTCAACCCAGAGCGGGTCTGCAGCACATTTTGGTGTTTTGTTGTCATGAGTAATTGGGACAATGCAGGAGGACATGGCCCACCGTCTCCAGCTCCCCACAGCGACATAGGCCGCTTCCCCACTAACAATAGACTCCCCCCTCCCCCCAAGGGCAAATATGGCCCAACCTCGGCCCCGTCAGAACAACAGAGGTCCTCCTCTCGTAAGGAAGAGCAGACCCCCGCACACCCACCCAACCCTGCAGGCCATAAAACGCCCGCCCAGTAACTCCAACACCCCGAGAGGCTTGCAGGGTCACAAGACACTCGTCCAACCGCTGAGCGATATTCCGGCGGACCCAACCCGCCTCCACGTGTCACCGTTCCACTAACTGCTGGTTTTGTACACCGCTTCAGCTGGCTGCTGATTAGCTCACCCAATCAGTCCTGAGTGGGTGCAGCAGTGCCCTAACCCAGAAGAAACTCTACTGCCACATTAGGAACCAGAGAGCAGAGACAAAATCCTGACTTTAAAACTTTTGTCTTACACGTGTTCAGATAAAAACTGTTAAAAATGCACGAGCATTCCACACAGATAGGAAATGTGTTTTACGGATGTGTCTAAAAACGTCTTTGCTCGTCAACGAGTGGCTGAGTGCTGCTTGTTCCCGCGGCAGAGCAGCACCGAGCTGAGCTGAGTGAAGTTGGCTTCTAACCCACAACAGAAATCCAAGCACATAGAGTGGTTAGTGCTTTCTGAGTGTGGGGAGCCAGCTTCACTTCACTCAGCTGCTGAGGCTGGCCTGTGAGCAGACGACACTGTCGGCAGCAGCGCTGACAGTTCTCACTTCTGTGAGACAGACAGAAATGTGCATTTTGGGCACAGTTTTCATTTAGTCTCGGCTCGTTAATGAAAACTCCCGTTCGTCTCGTCGTGTTTTAGTCACCAAAGAGCTATTTTTAGCTCGTCAGCGTCTCGTTTTCGTTATGAAAGAAAGGGGCTTCAACGAAATCTATTTGTCATCGTCTTCGACACTGGTTGTGTTCAGCACTTTGGGTCGTGTAAGAAACAGTAATGGTGCCATATGAATAAAGGTTGGGTTGCTTTAAATGGCCTAGCTGCACTTGCAGGCAAATCCGCTCTAGAGGGGTGGGCGCTGTAGCGGGCCGAGCCGCTCTAGAGGGCCGAGCCGCTCTAGAGGGCCGAGCCGATCTAGAGGGGTGGGCACTGTGGAGGGCCGAGCCGCTCTAGAGGGGTAAGGCACTGTAGTGAGCTGAGCCATTCTAGAGGGGTGGAGCCGCTCTAGAGGTATGGAGCCCCTTTAGAGGGGTAAGGCGCTGTAGCCGGCCGATCCGCTCTAGAGGGCCGAGCCGCTCTAGAGGGGTGGGCACTGTAGCGAGCTGAGCCATTCTAGAGGGGTGGAGCCGCTCTAGAGGTATGGAGCCCCTTTAGAGGGGTAAGGCGCTGTAGCCGGCCGATCCGCTCTAGAGGGCCGAGCCGCTCTAGAGGGGTAAGGCGCTGTAGCGAGCTGAGCCATTCTAGAGGGCCGAGCCGCTCTAGAGGGGTGGGCACTGTAGCGAGCTGAGCCATTCTAGAGGGGTGGAGCCGCTCTAGAGGTATGGAGCCCCTTTAGAGGGGTAAGGCGCTGTAGCCGGCCGATCCGCTCTAGAGGGCCGAGCCGCTCTAGAGGGGTAAGGCACTGTAGTGAGCTGAGCCATTCTAGAGGGGTGGAGCCGCTCTAGAGGGGTAAGGCACTGTAGTGAGCTGAGCCATTCTAGAGGGGTGGAGCCGCTCTAGAGGTGTGGAGCCCCTTTAGAGGGGTAAGGCGCTGTAGCCGGCCGATCCGCTCTAGAGGGCCGAGCCGCTCTAGAGGGGTAAGGCGCTGTAGCGAGCTGAGCCATTCTAGAGGGGCGGGGCCCTGGAGCTAGCCAAGCTACTCTAATGGGAGCTCCGGACCAGGTTCAGGCCTTTTTCTGCACTTCCTTGTATTTTGCCCTCTGACTTGGAACCAAGACGGAAGGCAGAGCCGAGTCCAGCCGGGTTCCCAGTGTAATCACTTATCTCAAACACTCTGGCGTGGCGACAGCGGTCTGGTGATGCATCCTTGATTTTTACCCAGAAACCACGGAGAGGCTAGGAAGGTCACAGCGGGAACATGAAGCCCACAATGAAGACGTTATTGCTCCAGTCTGCAGGCGACCAGCACGAGATGATGCAACACACCTTTCTGCTCTGCTCTTCGTTCATTCCTGATCCCAAACAGGATCTGATCTTCCTTCCAGACAGTTTGGTGAGTAAAGACCTCCTCACGGTGGACTAGAGAGAATCCTGGGAGCGTGTCTGTTAATCAGCTGACTTCCATCCAGGCTGGAGGCCATTCAGGAACACAAAGTCCAGGCTTGTTCTGGAGAACAGAGGAGGACAGGGACCAGGACCGGTTCTGGTCCCAAGGCGCTCTGTGAGTTCTGAGACCTGCAGGTGAACAGGTAGAAGAAAAAATGTTTTTCCTGGCAGCGTGAAGCGTGTGGGCTCTGAGCAAGGAACGCCGCTCCACACTCACACTAAATACCCCCCCCCCCCCCCCCCCCCCCACACACACACACACACCTCCTCTGCTTCTATAACCCAGAACAGCAGTCGGGTCTGTGACCCAGGATCCACCTGGAACAGTTTCCAGTATCTGTCCCAGTAACCGAACTCATGCAGGAGTTCTACATGTGAACTCCCGGTTCTGTTGGAGCTCTGGTTCTGAAAGTCTGGTTCTGCTGCAGTCCGTTTTCCTTTTCTTTCTAGAAGCCACACCACGGCGTCTCAGAGCAGTTTGGGATTTACCCCCCCCCCCCACACACACACACGGTGAAGCCTCTGAACTGGATGATGTCACAAACCGGCTTCTACAGCACCCCCCGCCCTCTTCCAGAACCTTTGACTCGGTCCTGTCTTCCATCATCCTGAAGACAACTGCATTCTGGGAGGGTGATGAAGGATAACCAGTGATGAAGATGAAGCAGAAGGAGTCTCCCTCTCAGGGGTGGCCTTCCTGGTTTCCGGGTCACCTCTTCTGTGGTTCCGGTTTCGCTCCGAGGGAATATTTTTTCCCAGAAGAATTCCAGTTGTTATGAAGCAAGATGGAGGAAAACCCTCGTCTTCGTCACCCCTCCCTGCTGTGTTACGTGAATCTTAACAGATCCAGACTGGCCTCACCTCCCTGCTCTGGTCTGGGACTCAGACCGGGTCAGGGTCCCTGGTCCTGACTGGACCTGATTAAGGGTTAGGAGGAGATTTCCTGGGTTTAGGGTTGTGAGTTCGTAAGGATTCAGAGGACACCGGAGGTCTGTAGGAGTTTCTGGGTCTGGTACCCGGATCATCTCCAGTCTCCTGGACCTTCTACACCCCCCAAGGCACTTTACAACACAACCAGTCATTCACCGGTGGAGATGAGCTACATCATAGCTACACCTGCTCTGAGACACACTGGCAGAGGCCAGGCTGGCACCACCGCTCCCCCCGACCACCGCCAGCAGGCGCGGTGGGGGCGTGCCTTGCCCAAGGACACAACTGTGACAGACGGGACTAGAACCTGCAACCTGTTACAGGGCGAGCACTTAACACCTCTGCCACATCACCAGGGGCAAAACAAACTTCAGGACTGTGGAAACCCAGAAGGTTCTGATGAAAGGAACCAGACCTGGTTTCTGGTTCTGGTTCCTCTGTCAGACTTTCCTTTATCTTTAAAAGCCTGTTTTTGGGTCGGGGGTACGAGTTCTGGAGCGGTCCGGTCTGATTTAGTTCTGGTCTCAGGCTGAATGAATTTAATTATGGAAAATGTCTCATCATGCTGTCAGAACCAGAACCAGAGTGAACCTGAAGTGGACTCACCTGTGTGAGAGTCTGGATCTGGACCCAGTCCCCGGTGTTCTGCAGAAGGTTCTGGTTGATCTGGACCCGGTCCCCGGTGTTCTGGCTGCTGAGTGACTCCTGCAGATGAGAAACGTTGTTTAAATACGGTGAAGCTTCCTGCTGACATCACACCCGTGTCATCAGCTGGAGTCCCCCAGGCTCCTCCCTCCTCCAGCTCCCTGTGGCTTGTTTCCTCTCATACGTGACTGAGATGAAGTCAGAATGCTGCTCCTGCTGATCTTTGACCTTTAGAATGTTGGGGGGGTGGGGTGGGGGTGGGGTGGGGGCACCCTCTGGTGCCGGCCCGACCCGAGGCAGGAGGGCAGTGCTAGAACCTCGTGGTTGGGATCTCCGTACCACAGCGGTCAGCTGGAGCTCTGCTCTGAGGTTTTCTATGTTTAGCAGCAGGTCCGAACCATCTACTGACCCGATAGAACCCGCAGGACTGAACCAACCCCTTCGCTGGAACCAGCTGCAGCCCAAACCTAAAGCAAGAACGTAAACTTTATTCTGGACCTTGTTCTGGTCGACCCAGACACGCTGCTGCAGAAGCCCTCTTGGGTCCAGTAGGGTTAGCAGAACTTTCCCTAACCCTAACCAAGATGATCAGAACCAGAACCAGTTCAAATGGTGAAAATCAGGAACTTTATACTTTAATGGTGAGAGAAAATGTTCTGGTTCTGGCCCAGGAAACCTTTTAATGACTCATCTTCCTCTCAGGGACCTTCAGCTCCAGCTGAACCCAAACTGACCCGTGTGACTCATCGCCCAGAACCTTGGAAATGGTGTCGCTTTCAGGTTTTAAACATAAAAGAGAAAGTCTGGACTTTATTGTAAAAAGTCTAAATAAAAACAAAGATGGACTTTGTGACCCGGTGTTAACCCAGATTACAAAAGTAATAAAGGGAAACTTAAACAGTTAAAGCAGGATTAACGAACAAAAAACATAATTAATACTTAGACAAATCTAAACATTAATAAATAGTTAAAAACTTGTTGGAAATAGTCAAATATGAATTCAAATATAAAAGGATAAAACCAAATAAATAGAAAGTTCTAGGAAAATTCAGGTAGCAACTGACTAACCAATCACGTGGCTGGTCAGCTATCCTATCAGCCAATAGGATTGGGCGCTTTCTGCGGATCGCTGCGTAGCTTCCACTTGCCTTCAGATGCGCTGAGAAGCTGACGAGGAAGCGCATGTCTGCGAAGAGCAAGCTAGGATGCACTAGCAGCCTTTTACTTGAGAAAATGACTCCAAACTCGGTGAGCAGATAGAAGTTTTATGTTTAGGTGCTGTTGCTGTGTAATAGTGACGAGGTATTTGTTACGCTTCGGAGGTCCGAAGACCGTGATTACCCCTGGGAAACCCCGTGTAACACAAGCTGACTTTTCTTGGTGAGTCCATTAGTGTGTATGTGTGTTAACTCATGCTAGGATATATTAGCCCCATAGCTAATCTTCGACAGTCGTTAAAACTAAAGAGAGCTTTTTAAACTAAATAAATAGATCCATCTCTGTACCTGCCTAACACTTCATGGTGAAATGTAAAAAATCGATGTCAATCCCAAAGCTGCACTTTACCATTAGTTACTGCCATTTACCTTTAACTCGTTCGCTGCCAGCGTTTCTCAGTTTTTACTGTTTTTTAAGAGTGACAGAACGTTGCGCGCTAGGACGATGTCGACGCCAAAACAACCAAAACAAAGCGGAGACTCACCTCTTACATCAAGAAGAATCTGCGCGTTTCGAGCGTTATCCGTTCTTTCATAATCCGTTGTTGAATTGTGATCGGCAGAAGCTTTTCCGGTTCGCGTCTCACTTTTTTTACAGCAGCGGCCCAAAACGATCTCCTCACACATGGATGTTCTGCTTCCTGATCACGTGACGCGTGACGTACGCGGATGAAGATCGGCTTTAGAGCTGAGATGTTTGTTCTCTCGGTGTGGGGGCTCGTCCGACGCCCACACAGTAAAAAAAATGCAAATGACGACTTTAGTCGTTATTGGCAGTGAACGAGTTAGCTGGAATGATTTTATAGATGCTCACGGATACAAGCACCCAAATGAGTTTTCTCTGCAGAGTGGTTGGGCTCTCCCTGAGAGATAGGGTGAGAAACTCGGTCACGCGGGAGGGGCTCGGAGTAGATTCGCTGCTGGATGTGGAGGTGATGAGTGTTTTTAATGACCAATTAAAACACTGCATTCTCCGCTTATAGAAATGAGATATTGTGAAAAGAGGTTGAAGCTAATTACTGAATTTCTCGTTGGAAACCCATTTCAACTGATTTATTGGTAATTTAACAACTTCATTATCCTATGGCACCTACTTGAAATGAATAATTTGTTTTAATATGTGTGACTGAATTTTGATTTCATTGGACTAATGCAGATTGTAAACCACAGTTCAGCGTTGAAATATTGTATTCTGACCTTATCTCTGTGACAAGGTGAGTGTCACTCTATCCCAGTTGATCATGCGCCCTGGCTACTTGGCCAAGGGGATGTCCCTTTGGCTGACTGGTTAGTGAGCATGACTCTCACCCGCAGGTCTGGGGACTGAATCCCGCCCAGGCCCTTGTCTCTCCACCTCGCCTTGTTGGATCGATTCACCTCGGATTGGATTGATTCTCTCCGTGAACTGGATTCTTATTCCAGTTCTGGGTGGTGAGCCCCAGCCCAAACAAACCATCAAGCCGGTGATTAACTGGTCTGTCCTTCACCTGAACTTGAGCTCAACCCAAGCTCCGACTGACAGAACTTCATGAACATTTATCAAACTGACTGACTGAACAGGAACTAACACAGACTGGTAACATTTAATTCAACGTTATTGTTCAAAGCACTTTATTATATCTACAGTTTGTTATAAATACTTGGTAATAAACTGTTGTTATACTTACCGCGCTTGGTCCATGTTGTCACTCCTCCTCTGCTCCTAAGATCTAGAATGTTCTGATCTGGTCCACCAGGTGTCATGTTGCGGGTGTGGAGTGGAGATGATGGACCATGTGTGGTGGAGAGTTCAGGAGGCAGGAGAGCAAGCACGGATGAAAAAATAAAAATGGTTTTAATGGTGGAACGGGAGCGACAGGACAAAACAAGCACATGCATGCACATACAATGATCCGACGAAGACTGGCACAAGGAGGGAGGTATAAATACACAGGGAAATCAGGAACACATGGGCAGGTTAACGAGGGGCAGGTGAGAACAGTAAGGACTAAACAGGCAGGAGAGAGACACGGTCAGGAAGGCAGGGGCAGAACGTGACACCAGGTGTTAAACCACACAGGTTTTCATATTAACCACCTCTTGTAGAAGAACTGAGGTTACAACTTATTTACCCATAATCCTCCTAGAGGGTCTCATGAAACCAACATGTCAGTGTAGCTTAGCTGTGTGTTGTTGCTCTACCAGGAATTAGGAATTAGCAGATTAAAAACTGAAGTTTAATCAGATAAAATGGTGAATGTTGGTTCTGACCCACACTGAAAGCGACAGCACCACGTATGAAGCTCTCAAGAGGGACCCGACAAGCGGATACAAGAGGAATATCATGGACCATCTACAGAAACTGTTAAAGGACAAGGTCATCATTTTACTACAGGCTCTATCCAGGAGAAGCCACCCATGTCTACATGAATATGGATTCACAAGGAAGGAACACCACGCAGACCCATCAGCAGCAGCATCAACTCGGTCACACACAACAGTGCTAAACACCTCTCCACCATCCTGGCCCCGCTGGTTGAAAAGACCCAACATCACATACAGAGTTCGGTGGATTTTGCACAGAAAGTTCAAGATCTCAAACCGGCCCCAGGGGAAACCATCGTCTCATCTGATGTCACTTCACTCTTCACATGCTTACCCAGACGAAGCAGTTAGGAAACATCTGGAACAAGATGATTCCTTAAACGAGGACAAAACCGACTCCAGACCAGATCTGTACCCTCCTGGACCTCTGCCTTTTTAACACCTACTTCAAACACAACGACAAGTTTTACCGGCAGAAACATGGATGCTCCATGGGCTCCCCAGTGGCACCCATCATCACCAACATCTACATGGAGGAAGTGGAAACCGGAGCACTGAACTCCTACAATGGAACAACACCGAGCCACTGGTTCAGGTATGTGGACGACACACGGGTCCAATTCCTCATGAAGGAAGAAGAAGACTTTACCAAGCACATTAATGTGGACAAGAACATCAAGTTCACCTGGGAGGATGTCCACAACATCCAACGGCCCTTCTTGGACTGTGCTGTGCAAACTGAACCAGATGGAAGTCTCAGCATTGAAGTCTACAGGAAACCGACTCACACAGACCAGTATCTGCATTTGGACTCACATCACTCACTGGAGCACAAGATGACAGCCATCAGGACTTTACACCATTGGGCCGAGAATGTTCCCACAAAGACTGAAGGAAAACACATGAAGAAAGCTCTCCAGAACCGCAGATACCCTAACTGGGCTGGAAGAGCATCCAGCAGCAACCAGCAAAGAAAAGGCCAACAGGCCCAAAGGCACCATCATCACATATGTGGCAGGAGTCTCGGAGAAACCTAGAAGAATCTTCTCCAAACACAACATCCCAGTAAACGTTAACCCAACAACACCCTCAGACAGAACCTGGTCCATCCTGAAGACCCAACAACACCCAAACAGAAGCTCAGTGCATGCAGTCCAGTGTAGTGAGGACTGTCCAGATGTCTACAAGACATGGCAGTCCACCTACACCTGAAGGACAAGGACACATTCTGGACAGAGAAGACAGATGGTGTGAGAGAGGAGTAAAAGAAGCCATCTATGTCAAACGTGGAAAACCCACTTTAAATAGGGGCGGGGCTTAGATTACACCTTTCCAGTACCTGCAACGCATCTTTGGATCTCATTCCTAAGAAGTTTCGGTCTAGGTCACACCTCCCTGTGTCTGATCAACACGACGACTCCCTCTCAATAGAGGCTAAAGACTCATGAGGAGGTGGAGAGGCGGGGCGCCCAGAGTAGTTTCTGCTCGTTAAACAACAACAGACAGCTACAGCCTGATTCTCCCATATTCCAGTTAAAATCGACAAAGCTCCTAGGATGAGAAGCGAAACGTCTTCAAGAAACCAACAAAAGTCCAGTGTTCTCCCTGAGAACCCTTTTGGATCACCGATATTTGGTTCTAAAGGTTTCGGGATCATTAAAATGAACAGTGCCCACATTGATGTACCTGCCTATTGATGTTTAAACAATGACTGCACACTTTCTGTGTGTGCCACCTAGATGAGGTATCACACTGAACAAGCAGGGGCAATTCTGGGTATACAGGTTTAGGGGTGCTGAGCACCTGACCAACAAGATTCATCTCACTTTTGTGCATTTGAACACAATTTCATTCCTATATTTGTGAAATAAAAGAAAACGTTTCCTCACATAGAATAAAAGGTTCACAGATCACAAACGGTGTTTAATAGATTCTGCTACTGCTGCAGAATAACCTGATCCAGGTTGTAGCCTCACAACGGCCCCGTTGTTGGTCTCAGACCCCAGGTTGGTCACCACTAGAGCAGATTAAAGACGCTCAGAGGTAGAACGCTGGTTGCAACGGCCCTTTCCTGATGCAAAACCTGAGTTGGGAACCAACTTCCGCGTTCATGTCACTGAAAGTACCAGGAACATTTCAGATGTATTTATTTGATCTTTTCTTAATTTTCGACTAATTTTGACATCATACAAATAAATGTTTTTAGTCCTTTATTAAAGTTGCCTGTAGGTTAGGGTGCCCTTAAATAAAATATATAAAACTTAACAACTAAACGTTTTAACGTGCATTAAGAGGCCCGCAAGCCGCCTCTTTGTGGCCCTCAAATCCCGTAACCCCCCCCCCCCCCCCACATGTGTTGTAATATGTGTGAGACTGAATGCAAGAGGATGATAAATAACTAAAGAGACCTCTGGAAAAATGTCCCCTCACTTCTGAGACCGTGGTTTTGCCCCTGCTGGATGGGGAGAGGCAGGAAGACACAGACCTGTCCCACACAGCTGCTAGCCCAGTGGAGCTGAAAACAAGCTGGAGCTGCGGAGAGCAGAATGCATGCATGACACCAGAAACTGCTTTCATAAGGAAACGACCATATAACGTGGTCATGGGCTCCACAAAGTGGATTTTGTGTGATGTAGGACCTTTAAGTTATTGCATTTGATCAGCAAAGCTATTCAACATCCGTTTTGTTTATTATTTGCATCATGACCACATTCCCGTCTGGCTCCTGAACACTAAACCTGCCGGTTTTTGTCTCCATGTCTAAAATCCGCTCTGTGCTGCTTGTGAACTCAGCTCGTCTAAAGATCTGTCAGTGAGAGCTTTAGCTGCTCGTCTCGGCAGGATTTAGTGTGATGGAGCGTTTTCCTGATGGCATTTCCACTCCAGTTTCCATGAGCAGAGATGTGCTCAGAGATTATACCCAAACCTATGCATCTGTAATTCCAGCAGCATTTCTTCCACTGGAGCTCCAGAACCATCTCATGTTTCCACCGAGAGAAGGATAACTGAAGGTCCTAGCAGCTTCACAACCGGCCCGTTTCTGTGCTGATGGAGCCGACTGGCTTCACTTGAACTGGACTCAGCTGAAGCAAATCAGATGCTGCTAAAAATATCCTTACAGGCTGTAAGTTTCCATGTGTGAACTCAGCTTCAGCTCACAGGAGAAGATTCTGCTGAGTCGGACCAAGTAAACAAACATGACTAACGCTGGAAACATCTCTGGAAAGATTAGCTACTCTGGTCGTGTTTCTGCTGCTTTCAGGCAGTGCCAAACCATTTCCAGTGAACCGAACGAGTTCCAGAACCAGTTAACCATCACATCAGAACCAGTTAACCGTCACATCAGAACCAGTTAACCGTCACATCAGAACCAGTTAAACATCACATCAGAACCAGTTAAACATCACATCAGAACCAGTTAAACATCACATCAGAACCAGTTAACCATCACATCAGAACCAGTTAACCGTCACATCAGAACCAGTTAAACGTCACATCAGAACCAGTTAAACATCACATCAGAACCAGTTAAACATCACATCAGAACCAGTTAAACATCACATCAGAACCAGTTAACCATCACATCAGAACCAGTTAACCATCACATCAGAACCAGTTAAACATCACATCAGAACCAGTTAACCATCACATCAGAACCAGTTAACCGTCACATCAGAACCAGTTAAACATCACATCAGAACCAGTTAAACATCACATCAGAACCAGTTAAACATCACATCATAACCAGTTAAACATCACATCAGAACCAGTTAAACATCACATCAGAACCAGTTAAACATCACATCAGAACCAGTTAAACATCACATTCAATTCAATTCAAGTCAAGTTTATTTATAAAGCGCCAAATCACGACAAGAGTCGTCTCAAGGCACTTCACATAATAAACATTCCAATTCAGGTCATTAAGCCAATCAGAAATAAAGTTTCCTATATAAGGAACCCAGCAAATTGCATCAAGTAACTGACTAGTGTCAGAGTCTTTATAGCAGTCCTCATACTAAGCAAGCATGCAGCGACAGTGGAGAGGAAAACTCCCTTTTAACAGGAAGAAACACACACACACTTTGTTTGTCCATTCTGGCCATGTGAAAGCGCTCTACAAATAAAGTTGATTTGATTTGATTTGACACACACACACACACACACACACACACACACACACACACACACACACACACACACACACACACACACACACACACACACACACACACACACACACACACAGGTTACATTGTGATGTCTTAGTAAATATTCTATTTGGTGAAAGATAAACTTTATTGTATTTATCCTAGTGGATCTATAATTAAACGGGTAAACTAGTAGTAGCACATCCAACGTCAAGGAAAGCAAAAAGTTATTATCAGGAGAGAGAGAATGTTTAAGTGGTTAGCAGCAG